CCCTGCAAGATGCCTGAAAGGGTGATGCGTTGTTGATACCAAGTATTTATGTACACCACGTCTTTCTTAATATATGACTCATGAAAATCCAGAAGAATTAATATACAGCATATTGCAGACCTAGTATGGAACTACTCTAAACTAAGGCATGATGTCTGACAGCACATCATAGCCCTTCTTACATGTGAAGTACTTGGATCTTGACACATAGAGACTATATGATCTCAGTAGATTAACACCCAAATGAGAGACTTTTCTGTCTCTGGTTATTTTCACCTGATTACTACTGGTGGTCAATGTGCGGCCAAGTTGTTAAAACAAAAACCATGTAATTTTCCTTGGCCAGGGGAGATTTGGTGTCGCTCTTGGCTATGTTTAACATGCAAACTACCACTCGCAATCGGAATTGATGAAAATTCCGGGTTGGTATAAGTTCGAATCTGGATTACCAAATTCAAATGTATGTTAGATTGGCCGAGAATGTTACATCCAATACTACTAATCTTATCACCTTCACTCCGCGGAGCCATTTACGGATTACCCGATCCGGCGACCCAGAAGCTACTACTACAACAACAACTATGTGGACACTTCGAGATCAGTAAGTTACATCGCGTCTTCAGCTCCATTTAAAGGCTTTGCTCCGCAGTTGCAGTTTTGCTACTAATTTACTTATTCAAGGTTCCAGTCTAAAGGCTGGACCAAACCTGTAACTACGTTTATGCTTGTTGACACTTACGATGCACACAACAGCACTAATCTCGTTTTGTATTTCTGCAGGCGCTGTCATGGCCCAGACAGCAGCTGGTGTTTGGCCACAAACCAAGACCAACCTAGGGGTCTCATTTGGAGATAACATCATAACTCCAGGGGCCTGGATAAATCCTAACGGTATGTAGCTCCTGTTACAACCAGCGTTCTTCCATCCCAGCAGAGCGAGGTCTCAGCACTATTTCTATCTAGTATGCTAATTTCGTCCAAAATAGATACTACATACCCGACCGTGTATCCCGGCTACTCTACAGGCTCCTACCCGGGGTCATATATGCTCATGATGGTGGATTACGACGTTGCTGATTCGGCCTTCGCCACGTTGGACCAATACTCAAGCCTTGTACCTGGTCGCTTGGTCAACACTACAACTCGTCTGCATTGGTGGGGATGGAACTACACACTGCAGGATGGGAAATTCATCAATTCTAGCAATGCTCTGGCGTCGTATCACCCTGCGCAGCCTGCAACAAGCAGGGTACACGACTTTACCATATTCCTGTTTGATCAGCCACAGGACTATGCTCCACCGCAGGGTGTTTTGGATGGTCTGTTAGAGGAGCATGATCCAAGGCATAACTTCACGTTGGCTCCTATTGTTGAAGTTGTCGGTAATCCACTGGCTGCAACGTATTTTTGGAGTTCGACGCCTGGTGTGCCGGATAACAGCTCAGCGACGTACTCGTACACCTGGGAGAAGATTTGAGGACAATAAGACAAGAAATCATCGTCAAACTGCTATTATGAGATTGATTTGTCTGTCATTTAGCATGCAATGGGGCGACTGACGGAAGGATCTACTTACAATCCTTGACCCCGTTAGATTAGCGTCCGTCACTAGGATAGCTTGGCTGTTCAAGAACCCCAAGCCTAGATATGCCAAGGCAGCTGCAGATAGCGCAGGATACAAGTAGGACTTTCACTCTGGAATGCTGTCACGCTGGTTAGGAAGCCATAGATACCAGCCACTGCCTTACGTCACCGTCCTGATAGTCCAGATAGGGCTTAGGGCACCGCCAAGCTTTCCCCTCTTGCTCACGTGACAATACTCTGTGATTAGTCATGGGATGCTGGACGGGGTCGGTGCTCGGCCAAGTCCGTCTTCAGCATTTCGTCTTTGCGCCCAGCTCTCGCGGTGATATTCTTGCTGCGAGATGATGCGAACCTGGCTCATCTGAACCGATATTACAAATCTGCTGCCAATGGACTAATTATATAGTACTCACTATCGATGTGAACCTGCAACCTACAACGACTGCCACCGCCGCATTCTTTTCTCCCGCTCGACTCCGCTACGTTCATGTGGAAAGCATCAGTATATCAGTAACAAGCACTCATTAATCTAGCCGAATCGCCTATCATATCTCAGATCGAGTCTCTCTTTTATCAGTTTCATTTCACATAGCTTCGCAATGACGTCCCCATACCAGCCGTCCGTGTCGTACTCGCCGTCTGTGGCCGGCCCCGACATGACGGCTTCAGGTCCTTCAACTGCTTCATCCAGACCAGTCTCCGACTTGCCCCAATCTCAGGTTGACGCAATCATCCGAACGAAGCGAAAGGCCCGCGAACCTAAGGCCTGTTACCCGTGTCACGCCCGTAAAGTCAAATGCGATCGAAATCTACCTTGCGACGGTTGTGTCAAACGCGATCATGCCGATCTTTGTTCATACGAGCGTCCCTCGAAAAAGCGCGTCATGACCGGCTCGCTTCCGCAATCCTATCCCGACGGCCCTATCCCTGGTAGCCAGCCTACGAGCGCAGAGAATCTCGGGTACGCTCCCGAGCCTCCCGTGCGTCTAAAACAAGAACCGGGTGTGAGCCGGCCAAGTATAACAGCAGCCGGCGGCCGTGTGTCGATTGCGCGCGAGGAATGGGACAATGTTCGCACGAGATTGAAGGAGATGGAGCAAACAATAAATAATCTGCGGGTGGGTCTGGAAAAGGCCGAGGAGGGGCCGGCTTCGACGCTGGAGACGAGCAGCGTGCGGAGCGGGGATGCGAGTAACAGATCCAAGGGTGCCTCCCCGGAGCGAGAGGGCATCCATGCGCCGAATACGTTTGGTGAAGGCACTGTACACCTGGGATCTAGGTCTGTTTTGGCCTACATCTTGAACAATAAGTCGGGGTCGGATCAGCTTCAAGCGCTCCTTGAGGGTGGGATTCTGCCGAAGCTGGGTCTGGATAACGAGTCTGCGACGTATCCGTTCGTTGACCTGTGGTCATCGGATATGTCATCCTTTGATATAAGCGCCGTTTGCAGTGCACTGCCGAGTGACCAACAATGCAAAGAGTTAGTCTTCACCGACAGCTGATTTGGTAGTGTTGTGGAGTTAACGAAGGTTGCTATAGGTTTTTCTACTACTACCGGGATATAGCAGGCGCCATCTACCCGGTGCTGGAAGATGTCCCGCAGTTCGAGATGAACCTCGATCTTATGCTGCGGAATAGAGCTGCCATGGGTGGTATGTATCGGGCGGATGCCGATCAAGCCCAGAAACCTTTTGGTGTCACTATTGCCTATATGGGATTGCTGTTTGCCGTTCTTGCTTCCGGCTGCCAATCGTCAGATTTGCCAGGAAAGGAAAGAGAGCTTACATCGCAAGTATACGGTAAGTTCTGCCTGCTTTGTGGTAGGATGCAAGTGCTTATCTATTGCAGTATGCTGCTCCTACCAGTGTCTTCGAATGACCAACTTCCTGTCCCAGCCCACAATAGACGCCATGCAGACGCTGCTTGTGATAGGGAACGTGCTATCGTACAACATGAACCCCGGGATATCGTATGTTCTCCTTGGTATGACCCTTCGAATGGGGCTGGCGCTCGGCTTGCATGTGGAGTCTGGTCATTTCACTGCAGCTGAGCGATATCGTAGACGCCACGTGTGGTAAGTTTCTCGACTGCATTACGGATGAACAGCGGCTAACAAACTCTAGGTGGTCCATGGCATGGCAAGATAGTCACTTCTCCCTTTCCTATGATCGGCCGTCGACGACAGCCGTGAGCCAGCCAGAAATTGCCTACAAGGAAGACCGGAAGCCTGGCGAGCTTTCATATTTCGAGACACTGTGTCGGATCATATCACTAGCGCTGGAGGTGGTCCGCAGCCGGATGCTGAGCCCGCACTCACAACTAAGCTACAAAACAATCCAAACCTACAAAGAACGGATTCAACAAATCATGATAGAGGCCAAGCCCCATCTTCGAGACCGCAAATACTGCCTTTCAGCAACCGAACACCTCGAACGGGTCGTCCTCAAGCTGCACTCATCTTACTTTTCTTCTGAGCTCTGCCGGCCAGCGCTCAAAGCAAACGCCGACATCAGTGACCCCGCCTTATCCAGCATGCGCACCGACTGCGTGAGCAACCTGATGACCACTGTGGAAGCCTATGTTGAAATGCACACCGTCAGTTCCCACGCCTCACGGTCATGGATTGCCCTGCAACGCGCCATCAGCTCGATCTTCCTTCTGGCAGTCACAGAGGAGGTCAAGGGACATTCTCGGTTCTGGACCCTCCTGCAACAACTCAAGATGATCATCGCCGAACGAGCCAATATTGAGGGCGACTACGGAGCCGCCACAGAAGCCGCCGCGGTCCCACCAGTCGACAGCAGCGCCCGCCTCGGTGCAGTCACAAGGCCCCCAAGCACCACAGCGCCCAGCCCTGCGGGTCTGAACTCAGCATCTCCAGCCTCCGCCGCTGTGGCTGTCGACACGCAGACTCAATGGGCCAAGCCCTTGACAAAGACCCTTCGTGCGTTAGAGAAATTGGAGGGAGCATTCAATGCCCAGGCGGCTCGTGCCAGTCAAGCAGGATCGCCGAATTATCTCAACCCGGGCATGGGTGTTCCGCCTGTGTCGGCTAGCATGACGCCGAGTCTCGGATCCTTGCCGCCGCCCACGCCAGAGAGCTCTACCAGCGGCGAGTGGACGATACCTAATATTCTTGACAGAGCGCAGGAGTACATCCACCCACCGCTCTGGAGCTGAGGGATGCCAATATAGGCTGTACATTTGTTTAATTATCTAGGCGTCTGATATATGCATCGGTATAGGGGATTGTGGTTGGGATGGCACGGCCGGCGCAAACGAAAATGGGACATGTGTTGACTTTTATCTAGTTCCTAGTATCATATATTCAGGTTTACTCACCCACAATCTTTACTTCAATTCAACCTTACAACAGTCTACATAACTCATTCACATACAGTGCAATAAAAACACACTCAATTCCTCGCAGGCAATATCTGCCCCACACACTCCCCAAACCCAACCCCCTCTCCAGCCCAAGCCGTCAACCTCACCACATCCCCATCAACCAAATACCCCCTCTCCTCCCCAACACCTCCTTCCAACTTCACCCTCTTCTTCCCCCCCTCCGTCACCTCCAAAAGACATCCATACGACCCCTCCTCCTCCCCGCTCACCGTCCCCGTGCCCAAAATATCCCCCGTGCGCAAATCACACCCCGTACTCGCCAAATGCGCACACATCTGTCTGATACTCCAGAAGAGGTCCTTCGCATTACCCCGTCCCAGCACAGTACTACTACCACCACTACCGGCTTCAAGTTCCGTCACAACACTAATATCATAGTTAAACTCCCCCGGATCCTGCAAATGCGCCGGGAGGGAAACTCTCGGTTCCGGACCGGGCGTCTTAAACGGCTGCAGTGCATCCAGAGTGACGATCCAGGGGGAGATTGTAGTCGCGAAGTTCTTCCCGTTTAGTGGGCCGAGCGGGATCATTTCGAGGCCTTGGATGTCGCGTGCTTATTCCAACCGGCTTGTTAGTATTGCCTTTGTGTAGTGGATTAAACTAAGGGGGGTGGGGTAGGTATACTCACCACTCCAATCATTCAACATTACCAACCCAAAGATATGCTCTTCCGCATCTTGGGCCTTGAGGCCCTGTCCCCGAGGGAGGGGGTTTCCAATGATGATCCCCAGTTCGAGCTCGTAGTCTAGTGCGCGACATGGCCCGAAGATGACTTTCTTTGTCTGTGGGAATGAGGGATCGGTTCGGTCGTAGAAGTGCCCTGATGGTCTGGTAACTGGGGTGCCGGAGACGGAGATGGTACTGGCGCGGCCGGCGTAGCCGATGGGGAAGTGGAAGAATGCTGGGGGTGGGGCCGGGTGGTTTAGGATGATTTGCCCCGCGTGTTGATTGTGGGGGAGGCTGGCGCTGTAGTCTATTTTTGGTGGGGACTTGTTAGTGGGGGTGACTTTTGGAGGGTGATTAGGAGAAGGGGATGGGGGTTATGTACCGGTGAAAGAAGGTATAGAGACGGGGAGATGCATGGTTACGGTGGTGATGTCTGCGGTGCTGGATTCGGGGAGGGAGGGGGTTTGGAGGATGGATTGCAGGACATGGCGGACTTGGGTTTGGGTGCTTCGGGGGAGGGAGGCGAAGGGGTTAAGGGTGGTGTTGGAGAAGATGTTCTCGGGGAGAGATGGGATTGAGGAGAAGAGGCCGGCGGATTGGAGGTCGGAGAGGAAGATGACGGTGTTGTGGACGCGGGTTACGCATTGCGGGGTGGGATGGGAGGGTGAGGAGACGATGCCGTAGGGGAGGTTGTGGATGGAGAAGTGGTCGGAGTAGGAGGGAGAGGTCATTTTGGCTATTTTGTCTTTTGTATGCTGTCTGAGGAGTGAGTATGCTTGCTCTGATCTTTGGATACTTAGTTTATGGAGTAATTGGTGTTTTATAGTTCGTGGATGCGGAGATTGGCCCGTCGGATGAGTGCAGTTCGCGCCCACATCCCGATAGTTGGGTGAGGTTATCCGCCAGATTTATCCGAGGATATGCTGAGATGAGGGTTTCGTTGTTTTGACTTTCTGGGGGTGGGGACGAATTTAGGCTTGGTAAGGATAGGCCAGATGTTGACGAGCTGCTATGGGAGGTAATATGAGAGTAGCAATGTATTATTCTCTCACAGTAAGCTGCCTCATACCATGGCTGATAGAGTTACGGCTAGAATGTACTCTTGGGGAAAATATAAATTAGGTTACATGTTCGGTTCTGTAGCAGATGGTTGTATTGGCAGGCATGTGTATCGGAGCATCAAGATGTGAGGATACAAAGGGAGGGAGCAGCACTGGCCTTATGTGGGGAACTGCTATAGCTCACCATACTAGTATCACTTAAACCTGCCAAGCCTGTCAGGCATACGACCCACAGCCCTAACCAGATTCCATTGCTAATGGCCATTGCTTGCCATTTAATATTCCGATTGAGTAGAATCAAAGAAGTTCATAAGAGCTACATCCACCACCCGCATGTGCTTCCTCATCTGAGTGTCGCAATAAGAGGTGATGTCCAGGATACTGAGTTGGTCAATGATCAACGGTAGATAAGCGCATGTGCCGTCTTACAGATCGCCAACACTGCAGATGACGAGTGCCACGTAGATGGATAGTTATTACTAGCTAGCTAGCTAGCCATACATGGATGAGCGTCCACAGATAGTACCTATCACTTTCACTATTGCGAGGGGGATTTTAAACCTCGCAGTGAATGTGTAGCAGAGGAGTTCATGACAATGGGATAATAGGGACAAGGAAGGAATAGTTTGTATGCATGTTAAGTATGGAGTCATTCTCATGAAGATGTTGAGGAGAGATCCTGCAGGCAACGATGCCAGGCGCTCGCTAGCTGGGAAGACATGATATGAGAATAATAAACTAAGATATTGAATGTCCCATTCGGGTTATCAGGGTTAATGGGTCCTTGGATTATATCTCTGCGTTGAAAATATCTCAAGTTCCGGTTCATTGAACTTTCATATTTCTATTATCTCTTTTGCACTGACAGGCTGGAAACCATTGAAGACCCAACTAGAAGCTTCCTATAAACACGTCGATAAACAGTACCAACGAAAAACCCGTTGCAGCTCACCACAGCCATAGGACCTGCAAATGAAGCTGTAGAATATACTAGCGACCTTCTTCCCTTTCCACCCACGCCTCATAATGATCCCTAATCATGCTCTCCACAGACCGATACTCCATCCCCAGCTCCCTCACACTCCTCTTGTTGTCAACACCAATTCTCACGCCCAGATTTCGAGCAAGCCACTTAATTGAAACACCCACAAACGGGCCAGCCAGGTAAACAATGAATCTTGGCAAAAAGCGAGTAGGCAAAACCCTCGGATTCCGATGCACAGGCCGAACCATATCTGCCAATTCCAACATGCTGAATGTCTCCTCACTCCCCACAATGAGATACCGCCCTTTAGCACTTGGCATACTGCCAACTCTGATATGCGCCTCAGCCACATCCCGCACATCCACCACAGGAAAGTACAATTCCGCAGCACCCATGCGGTCATTCCCACGAAACATGTTATCAATCATGAAGAGACTGCCTGAGACGGATTCAGACGACAATGATGGCCCGAGAACTAATCCTGGGTTCAGGACCACGAGGTCCCAGCGATCCTGGGCGGCGTGTATCTTCCAGGCTTCGCGCTCTGCGATTACTTTGGAATAGTAGTATGGGTTATTAGTCACGCTGCTGGCTTCGTTCCAGTGAGACTCGGTGAGTGTGCTGTTCTCGGCGGAATGGATGTCCATGGAATCGCCGTACATAGCAGCCACTAAGTATCTCATATTAACAACCACAGGAGAAAAAAGCGAGAAAGGCTCACCAGATGACGTCAAAACAACTCGCCATACAGCCTGACATTGATTCACAGACTCGAGTACGTTTCTGGTTCCGCTGAGAGCTGGCTCCACGCACTCGCGTAACCCATCCTTGATTTGCGAGGGGCTTAAGAACGGGGATGCGATATGGTGCACGATATCGCAGCCCTCCATGGCCTGTAGAAAAGAACCATCTTTCAGTAGGTCTGCCTCAAATAAGGAGAGACTTCCCGGATATTGAGACTGGAGGTTGAAGAGGGGCTCGCATTTGGTGGAATTTTTGACGCTCCGCACGGTCGTGTGGACTTTGTGTCCCTGCTCGAGGAGCAGCTTTATGACGTGAAGGGCTATGTAGCCTGTGCCTCCGGTAACTAGTGTAGTTGGCATTGTTATTCAAGTTGGATTTATTGGTAATATACTGGCCAAACCGGCTGAATCCTAAGTTGCCTCGGGTTGTGTGCTGGGACGAGAGGTCCATGTCCCTCTGAAATCAGGCCCTCTTTTAAACCACCATTATAAATATAGCAACGGCCGTGCTTTTGGGAGAAGATAAGCACTTACAACTCATCTGATCTTACTTGCGGTGGGTACTTGCCATCCATCCAATCTGAGAAGGCTTTCTGTCGGGCTATAGTTCCAAGCGGCCGACCACATGTTACAAGTAAGGCCTCCCACCAACATGAGCCAATAAGGCCGTAAGTTCAACAGCCCTTGACCGGTCACAGACAGACGTCGAAAATAAATGAAAAGGACAATGCTCTTTTATTTCCTCATTTGGCCCTTGGATGCCATTATCGTTTCACTTCACTTTCCAGAGAAAGGGTCAAGTTCATCGGTGCCAATGTCGACATCAAGGATCATCGAGTAGGTATCGTTCCCAGCTCTATGCTTCGATTGGGCGATGGAGAGGGAAGGAAGGCATTGGGTACTGACGTAGTGATCTGCAAAACGCTTGAGTGATAATTTGCTGTCAGCATCTGGAAGATCACTTTAACCACAAATGAGCTCTTTACCTTGGTCGAGTGCCAGCCTTGCATGTCGATGCTTTCTGCGTGTAGACGAGTCATTTTCGGTCCATAAGCTCAACAGCATTTGCCATCTGTCAGTGAACGGGTACGTTACGGTCATGACAGGTGGCAGCTTCTGCAACAAGAAGACAGTAGTTTTAGATTTTCAACACACACGAACGAGTTGTCCTTGGGTGGTCTTGACGACAATGGTTGGTGAGGAGAGATGAGTCGACGGGAGTGCACAGTAGGAAGTCCCGTCTAGTTCGAGATGGTGTAGCAAGATAGGATACTGACTAATAGATTAGTTGGAATGGCCTGCATACGTTTATTTACGTCTGCTACATGATTTGGTGCCCTTCATAAAGCCTGATCATAGTAGTAAAGATCGCTTCAATAACGTATTCCCAGTTGAGATCCTGAACTTGGACGCGCCGCATTAGCCAGAATCCGTTTATTGACTGAACTACTGAGAGTGACTACTAACAAGGTGTGCACAGAACAGGAACTTGTACTGTTATGTGCCCATTGATCGCATAGTAGTACCCACATCGCCAGTGCTAACATCCATAACTTCTCAGAGGCTCGCTCAACGGCGATCTTCAGAAGCATCTATCTATAATTGCGTGCTTTTAATACTCCACCTATCACGTATTACAATGCATCTGGTTATTCTGCAAGTGCTGCTCCAAATGAAATCTACATGCATGATCAGTTGTCTTGCCTAGACAGTCCTGCTGGGATTCCAATATATCATAACATACTATCATCAACACAAAACAACAAATCAAACTCTTCACATTCAAAAGTAAATAATTACAATGTAAAACGCCATCCAGCTCAACTACACCAACCAGTAACATACTTACTCACACCCAAATGTAGCAAACAACACACACGTAAGTAGGCAACTACCAGCATACAGACAAGTCAGTACCCTTGCTCCGGCTACATATGCATACATATCATGCACAATTGAACTAAGAACTAATTATGTGTAGGTACTCCTGTATGTAAATGCAAACCTACCTGACCGCCACCGGTACATACATGAACTTCGTGCATTAGTCCAGTCCCATCTGCAAGAATTAGAATGTAATCCGATCCCGACCACTGAGACATTCGGAAAAGAAGGGAGACAAACTACGGAGTACTGATTAATATCGAGATCAGCATGGTTAGAGTACCATGTTGTTACAATACATGGTCTAGCTCTCTTTTTTTTTTTTTCCCACGCGAGAGCTTCGAGAACAGAGCACGACAGTTGCGGCTGTTACGGCGGACGGTGGATTGGATTGTTATCGACGTGCTAAGTTTGAGACCGGCAGGACGGAAATCAAATAATGTGTGGCGCAGTTGGGGCTGGAAGTTGTTGTGAAGGACTTTGGGGTGGGAAAATGATGAGGAGTGAGGGTTGAGTCATGAAGAATTGGGGTTAAGGTGGTGATTTACCTGATAAACGAGCCGGGTATGCAGGAACATAAGTACGTACGTTATGTCGGGCTTTGATCAATGCCTAACACTCTGTTTATCTAACATGACATGATATATGTGCTATTGTGATGTTTGTTGGCACCTTTGGCTTTTGATTGTGGTGTGTAAGAAATGTCTCAGAGAAGATGGTATGCTTCAGCGCTGCGGCCAAGGGTAGGCAGGTTGAAGGGAGGAAGAAGAAAAAAATAATGAAAAAATTGAAAAAGAAAAAAAAATGAACACTTGTCCAGTGTGGGACCATATTTAGCTATTCTTCAGCTGCAATGGCTGCTCGGGAATATAATTCATTGGCGCCTACAAGGTGAAAAATTTCCTATCGGGCTATTGTGGTAGACTGAGAGCACAATTGCTTCTTTCATTCAGATCAATGCAGCGGGCGCTAAACTCCGACTGCCGCATATGGGCAAACATATCCACACCCTAAAACTGTGGAAACCAGGCCATGAGTCTGACCTTAGTACCAGGTAAATCAGAAGACTGCTTGGATGCAATGAGAGAAGAACGAATCGAAATCGCTAGTTATCCGATGTGGTCTTGTGTGCCATCTATTCTTCCATGCAGGCAATGGGACATCCATATAGTATTATATATATTGGCAGGCAACTCAAAGCATCATCAGCTGCAGATTGTCTTCGGATTGCATTTGGTGTATCGGACAAATAGTGGGTGCAGACGTTCCTGAGCTTATCCAATCACCTGAAGTCATTAGGCCCTGGCATTGACATTGCGAATCGTGCATACCCAGTGGACTCGAGGACGCGGGCAATTCGACTGCGCTGCCGCCAGGCGGCGATGACTGGGATGTTGGAAGGGGTGCTGGAAGGCCCGGAGGATGGTTATTAGGTGAAAGTACAATAATCGCCTTGGGACGTGATGAGCCAGAATTTATGGCTTGCATAATATGGGGAAGGGATGCCTCTTAGGAGCGATCAGTATCAGATCATCCAAATCATACTTCAGCGGCGATTTCCGCGTACCTGTTGCTATGTAATAATACGAGGATCCCGGGAACTGAGCTGTACCAGTCCACTGTTCAGTGAGAGGAAGGTTGGAGTCCAACGAGGGATAGATATTGTTCATGTTCTGCATTTCAGGAGAGATAGGATTCGATCGAGGATAGTAGACACTGTTTCTCAGGGCGGATGAGGGGGAGGTGGCATCGAGGTCATTCGGGGTATCGTATACGGAGGGGAAGGATGGCTGAGAAGATAGAACGGGTATCGAGCCCAGAGCGCTATTGCAGGATGAACAGACGACTCTTGATTGTGGGAAGTACGTGGAGCCCAAGGCCGACGAGGCATCCTGAATGGGAGATGAGGGATGTCCTTCAGTGTCGAATATTGGCGGCATTCGATCGACAGGTGACGGCGTAAGTATGCTGGGATGGTCCCAACCGTTTAAGCTGGCTGCTGCTCGCAGCTCACTGGCAATAACGCGTTCTTGGAGCTTGGCAATGCGATCTCGGATCTTGCGCCCTGCTAACTATTAACTGACTTCTATTTACAACTATCATAAGTGGAAATTACTCACGATGATTTCGTTGTGAGAGCCTATTCTGTAATCTTCTCCTCTCGATAGGATCCTGCTTCTGCCCTGTGGCATCATTGTGATTTCTGTCATCTTTTGGTGCCGGTGGCCGCATCTTCGTGGACATTATGTGAGCCGTGTTGATTGTGTGTCGGAAATCGTCAGAAGGGGCCGATGTATCAGTATTAGGTTTATGTCACGTTGATAATGGAAAATATCATTAAGAATATAGGCTTCGCGCTTCAAGTCCTGGGAAAAGCCTCTCTTGTAGCGCAGCTCGGAAATAGTTCGTATCTAAAAGTGTCGTTAAGCGTGTGCCGCTCTCCTGGTAATATGGGATATTGCTACCTTCGCTTACAAAAAATCTTACACGCATTCAGTTCAGCATGTAGGCTCAATAGATCTGGCGCTCGGAGCTTGTAGAGCATTCATATGTCGGTTTTGATTGGTTATGTCATCCGGATTTACGAGGTTTCGCAATGAGTGCAACATAATCCCAGGCAAGGCCAAGGAAAGAGGAGGCGCCGAAGGAAGTATTTGAATCCCCACCGCAGCAGGTTACTCGGCCACTTCACTATGTCCGTCGGTCCATGCTTCTCAAGCGTCTGGGTTGGACTGGCCTACTTCCCATCCGACTTGCTGGTACTTGGCCCGTGGTTTTCTTGACCACGTTCCGCTACCAAGTCTGCAGCCTTGATCCATGTCCCACATCCATCTTTGGTAGTATATGTGCCCGGGGAGCAATAAACCATGGCTCTAAGGCGCGAGCAAGGCTTTTTGTGGCGCTGCTGATCATCGGGGTTAGGTCAAACAATGATCAATAAAAGGCTCTTATCCAACTTGGGATTTGTCGGACAATAGAGATCGGTCCAGATCAGCCTACTGAGACCCCTCATCTCATTCGTCGCACGTACACTCCATGGCGCAACCCCCACTCATATGGGCTTCGGGCCAAGGAAGTGATTTGAGACAGTTTGACGGCCTTGCCAGCCGCGATGCACGGATACGCACGGTTGACCAGACCAGTTAAAGTGTCTGATATTATACTGTAAGCGAGCTATGCGGCAGAGGTGAGCGCGAACTGGGTGGCTCTGATGATATAAGCCCGAATACCTATAGTTACTATCCTGGGGAATCCTTGCAGAGCTTCTCTCAATGGGGCGTCTGTGGCCTCCAGAGCACGTAATATTGCGACGTGAGTGATTGGAGCAAATGTTACTCTTGAAATATTACGTATCGCAGGACTTAGCTAAGGCAGGCGGCAGAAATCAGCCAACATGGTAAAGGGGAGGTATTTGTTACATAGTATGGATGGTAGGTGATCCTTTCAAGTACTGTGTGTTGTCGGGATTGGTTTTC